TGAAATGTGGCAAACAGTGATTCATGTTAGAGTGAGATTTATGTTTTGTTTGAGCGGATTTGACGTTTCTGTCAATTTGGCCGAGAGTCGCGGTGGTCTAATCTGTGTGGGGGGGCTTTACGGACAGCGTTAATTAACCCAGAGGTTGATTAACAGTGTAACTGTGAGCATTGGGAATAGGAACTTCCTTTGACTGGGACATCTTCAGAGCGTGTGCACGACAGTGTGTGTGTGTGTGTGTGTGTGCTAGTATAAAAGGTCCTCTGCGACCGGGGTCGGTGCACGTCCGTCTACATGAGTCTCTCTGCACATTTGATTCTTCTTTTTCTTCCCGCTGCATTCATTCCGTTTGATTAAAGCATTGATGGCCGGCACTGAGGCTCCCATTACGCTGCAGCTCAGAGTGTGTATCACACATGCGTGTGTGATTCTCACAGTTCGAGCAGGAAGTGTAATGCTTGTGTGCGTTCCCCCTCTTTCATCTCCCGTGCGCTGTCGCGATGCTCTGCCCTCAGCGAGCTCGCCTCAGATGCCAGGCCATCTCACAACCTGCTTCAAAGGGCTTCTCTCACTTCCAGTCGCTGTCTGTAATTTCTCTTTTCAATCTCACGACTTTCTCTGCAAATGGCCTCTAATTCTTGGCCACTTCTTTAGCCTCTCCCCAGGTGGTCTAATTTATATTTCTGTGCTTGTAATTTGTAAACATCTGTGACATATTAAGGCAGGTGCACCTTTATGTGCACTTTATTAATTGCTTATAATTTATAGTGCTACCCTGCATTTTACTCTGTATATCAGTGGCCATGTTATCTCATCTTTAAGTTATCTTTCCTTGGTTTGCTCACAACCATCAGTCTCATTTTCCTCTGTTGTTATCATCGTACAAATAAGGTTCGACTCTCCTCATTTCTCCCCGCTCATGCTGCATTTCATCATCTGTCCCGCTTTTTTTGCCTTTGCTTCTTCCTTCTCCCTCGGGGATCAAACACCTTGCTCTCATAACAAAGGGGCAGTAATCCCCTTTAAAACTGTCTCTCTTTAATCTTCTTTTCTAGTGCTGTACTGTTTTAACTCCTTCTCCTCCGAAGTCTTTTCTTTCCCTAATTCATCATCTTCACTGTTTCGTCCCATCATCTTGCTCTCTCTTTCCAATGGGACTTAAAGCAGCTTTCTTCTTCCCTATTTCTCATCTTGTTGTTTTCTTTTCTTTCAGCTTCTCCTAATTCTGACCTCCTTTTTCTGCCTCCATCTTTTCTCTTGTAGATGAGATTGATATGTTGGAGCGTCTCTGGCTGTCGGGTATCTGCCACAATGATAAGATCGAGGTATGGCGTCTTCCCTTTCTCTGCTTTTCTTCATCAGAATCTACACTGTTTTCAGAATAAACTAAATGTAGTCCAACCTTCTCCATGGTCAGCCAATCAGTAAATGCATTCACCCACTAGGGACCCAACTGCGAATATTTAGCTTCAAAAATATTCATAGCTACAGTGATGCTGAATTGTAACAGTCACAATGCCTTTATAAAAAAAGGTTCTAATAGATTTGAGCCGGCAGAGGAACAACTACCGGAGTCCTACTGAGCCAGAGCAACGTCTATCAGTTGGTTGCTTGCCTTCGTTTCATTTTGTTAAGTACCTATAAGATGGTTGTTTCCTGTCGTTGGTTTGGATCATAATCACACACCAAACAACACTGCACTGCAGGTCTATCAGAGGAGATCTGACTGTCTCAGTTTTGGATGTGTGTACAAATCAATAATACTTATTCATTCAAAAGTGAATGCAGTCTGGCTGCAGATGAGAGCTATGGATGTTGAAACTGCATGAATTAAATAGTCCGAAAACTTATTTTTTGGGGGTTTGTTTGATGTAAACAAGATATTATTTGGCAACTTACATGTTTTGGTCTTTGCATCAGTGTTCTGAGCACAGAGGCCATAAAATATCACAGATGTGTGCACCGAGAGCAAAGGGTTCTCTGCTGTACTGCTGGTTGTAATTCACTTTTTATCTGCTGCCTGGGAGACAAATTGAACCTTGCTGATACATATACTTTCCTGTCTTATCTCTGCCCCTCCCTTCTTACATGCTTTCCTTTTACCTGTTCTGCCTCTTCTTTGTACTCATCCCTGCTCTCTGCTTTCACCTCCTATAATGTTTCCCATTCCTCCCCTTCCTTTCTGTCGTCACTTCAAGGTGATGAGCAGCAAGCTGGACATAGACAACATGGCTGGGGTCTTTTACATGCTGCTGGTGGCCATGGGCCTCAGCCTCCTGGTATTTGCCTGGGAGCATCTGGTGTACTGGAAATTACGCCACTGTGTGAAGCGATCTGGTGGGATGGACTTCCTCCTGGCTCTCAGCAGGGTGAGATAAGGCAGCACAGACAGTCCATACACCCATTGCAACACCTCACTTCCAAGTGTATTGGTTAACAATTAAAAAACACCTGAAACAACTTCTTTAGGGCAAAAGCTTCAGAAGTTGATGGTCCTGGCAGTCCAATATCATATGTGCCCTTTAAAGGACCTGCCTGTTAATAAAAGTGCAAGTGAGGCATAGCCCGAAGCCTCACTGGAATCTTACTGGCCGTTTTAACAAGACTTCCAAGACTATTCTCGTTGGTAGAATTTAGATTTCCAAACCAATGGCAGAAATGGATGCTTTTGTCTAAACGTTGTTTTGAATGCATATCACACAACCTCCTTAAGTCGTGTGCAGCTCCTTTGTGTTGGGTGTATCTATATTCAAGACAAATGAAGGAACACCTGAGGTACATTTTAACAGAATATCCGATAATAATTCATGTCAACTAGATTGAAACGATTTAATACGTAGGGTAGAACGAATCAGTGAATAACTACAGATCCCTGAATGGAATAGATTGACAATAGCCATGAAGTCCACTTTATTCAGGAAAATAGAGAGAATAGATCAAGCAAGGCTAATGAACAGTTTCCAGATAAAATCAAGATATGGATTGCAAAAGAGAATCTCCATACTGGTACTTGTTTCTGGCACTGAGCAAGGCACAAGGAGGTTGAGCCAAAAAGAGGAGCATCGATGGTGTTTATCCTTGGAGTCACGCCAAAAGGTCCAGGAGAGAGTGATGCTTTCCTTGAAGGCCTATAGAGGTTCGTAAGTTCATGCCGGGGACTTGGAAATATTTAGTATATGTCCTGGAAAGACTTTCAGGGGTTGTGGTGAAGGTATGGTAGAGGGTGAAATTGCGGGAAAGAAGGGAACAAGGTAAGAGCTTGAGGTAAACAGGAATGGGAAATAGATGATGCTGTGATTGGGGAAGGACAATGAGGAGAAGTGCAAAGGTAAGGGAGGGAAACTTTGAGATAAGAAGACAAAAGAGCCGCCAAAGAGGAAGCATTTTTTATCGGTTCTGTCGTGAGTTCAGGTGGACTTTTGTGCTAAATTTGAAGAAATTCTCTCCAGCTGATCCTGATATATCACGTTGACAAAAATGGACCAAACAGACAACCCACGAACATAATGCCTCAGTTTTTCAGCCAACGTCAATAAATTTATGGGAAAAGAAAGAAATAAGGCACAGATTAGGAATGAATATGGAAGAGCAATAACACAAAGAAGCGAAAGGGAAACGAGAGTTTAAGTGATGATAACTTATACATTATCTTGACTGTGCACATAATCTGGCACAATGTGGATTCAAAATGGAATTTAAAATTGACCACATGATTGCAAGTTTGCAAGTAAAGGATTGCAAGTAAAGGATTGCAAGTAAAGGAAATGTAAAATATTCATTGCTCACAAAAATAAATAATAGGAATCACACTGTCCCTTCTTCCATGCTAATAATACATCAAAACCACCATCAATCAAGACAGAAATTCTGCTGTAGCGATGGGTTTGACCCAAGTCCAGCACAGATCAGAGTTTAACAACTAAGACAATGTTTGGCACTAGTATGAGTGGAACCTTCAGCACAATGCATGATTGTGTATAGTGTCTGGTTAGTGACCATTAGTTGTATACTACTTTTCATGATGCATTGGGAGATACTTTGAGCCCATTTTGTAGGGTATAGTAATTCTCACTGTGCATTCAGACAGCACTACAAAACAGCAAACTCACTATATATTGCAATATATAGTCAGTAGTGAGTGATTTCGAAAACTATCAATATCTGCGGCAAGTAGCTAAATCAAATAAAAAAGTTTCTGTTCTCCACAGAGTTTATTATTAATCCTAATCAAATATGTTGGTGTGAGAGCAGCCAAGTCACAAAAACAGGAAACTAGACTAGTTTTGAGTAATTTAGAAACAGTGTGACCATCACAGTTGTATCCAGATCCAATAGTGTTTGTTTATGTTATGTGTGTGTGTTATACAGACATCTATATCAGTGTGCTCAAACCCCTGTTAGTCCCAGGCATGGGTCTTTGTGTCCTCGAGGGTCTGTATACTGATAGAAGGCCGATCTGCTATTTACTGAGCACTCTCCACTGTTTTATTGATAATGTATGTTGACCATGTGGTTGAAAATCCATGCAGTCTCAGATATTTTCCAACGGTCTTCCCTGCAGACCCTTTGGAGTGTAATTTCACCTCGCCATACATTCAGAGCATACCAGCAAATTTTCTCGCATGAGCAAACTCTACTCTATCTGTAGCATTCCTCATTCAAAGAATAAAACCATCAATTCAATGCAAAGGCCAATCCCAAGACCAGTTAGCTTGTATCTCCCAAGCTCTGTGCTGTGCTTGCATTAGAGCTTCTGCAGCTGGCCTCTGTGGTTTGCTTTAACCCAATCAGTGACTCACCCAAGTTTCAATTTCACAGTGTGCTGCGCCCCATGCTCTGGAAACTGAGATAGCACTGCTGCCGCTGGAACTGCTGATTCATGTGTCCGGAAGGGCCATTATTACAGTCTCTCCATCAGATCTCTGTCCCGGTGGGGAACAGAGATTTACACGAGGCCCCACACATTTTGTCATTAAGATGTGACCGATATCTAGGGATATTATAAATTATCTTCAGGTACAAAAAGTAATAGAGTCTTTGTGAATGACATGGCTCTCAACAGGACTGCTAATTGAATCCCATCTATCTACAGCGAGCTGTAAATATACAAAGGTAGGGGAGAAAGAGCACGCAGGCACAGTCGAGGTAGCATCGCTCATCTGACATGATTGTATAAGTGATTGATTCTGCTTGGGGTTTTAAAATTTAAAAAGATATCATGAGCAGTGACTAATTTACACTCTGGCTCTTTCATTTCATGGTTTATTCATGTCAAACATTGTGGGATGTTGCTGCTGAGATGGAAAAAAAGGCGGATGGTTCTCACCATGCACTTTCGGAGGAGTTCATTAAAAGCAAGTGAGAAAGATTTCAAGCGGCTTAAAAAAACAACACCAGGACCCCTAAAAATTTGATTTTCATTTCAACAAATGTAACAATACTGCATGGAGTGAGAAGATCAATCTTCACATCAGAACATTCCTTCTGCAATATAAGGTTTGGGATTATATTGAATTGTTTCTTTCATTAAAAAAATTACCATTCAAGGTATTTTGGGCTGTTGAAATCTTACTCAAAGAGTAAACAAACAAACACATTCTCACTCCCAACCTGTCAACCTTACGATTAAAACCATGGTGCTGTAAGTAGCCCTCTAGCCTCAGCTTTGTACTTGTCAGAATGGCAAGTCAGTTTCCACACGTTACGGATATAGTGTCTTTTCAAAATGAACTTTCTATGTAGGATTACTTAGATTTTTAGGTTGAGGCAAGAGTACTTGGTTAAGCTGAGAAAAAAGTTGTTTGTTAAGTAACTGACCAAGCGTCATCCGTTGGGAGTGAGAACTGGTTGAATATACATGTTTCAAGTACTGTATTTCTTAAGCAAATGTAAAATTTTTCCTTGATAATACTAAATATATATATTACAGAATATATAATATATATATATATATACTCTAATTATTAATTTTTTCACTGGTAAAATACAGCCCAAGAAGAAATGTAGCTCATTGGGTTCCGGTTCAGTAAGCCAGCTGGCAGCTGAGAGGCAAGGTGATTCTCTTAAAACTCAGCATCAGTTGTTTTATTTGCACAATGACAAAATAGGTTTGGTTGTTTTTGCTCTACCCCGTTGTTTTGACTCCTCTCCAGAAGATGTATGCTCCTTCACATAACTCCTTTTCACTGTACCAGCTATGTGATATTTTGTTTACTGAAAGCTTTATTTGGTTTGATAGTGTGACAATTGACATCTTGGTAAACTCGGTCTACAGTTTCTCCAAAACTCTCATTAATATTTAATGGTCAGCACTCCATGTTGTCTGCCTGTGTAGGAGATATAGTGACACAGAGAAAGAGGCAGACAGAAACTACCTCGAGCGATTTCCCAGCATACTGAAAGACAGAATAAAGATATTTTCCTCTTTCCAAAGTGGAGGCTGTTTTTGCGAAAGGTGTTTAACCAACAAATTTACACAGGCGGTGATAATGCAGTGCGCTGAATAAAGATTAAAGAAAGTGAGGTGGATAGAGAATAAATAATAATACATATGTTTAAGCCAGACAAATGTAAAGCACCTCTTAAATGCTACGTGTCACAGGTTTAACTGGATCCTCTGTGAGGTGTTCATCAACAAACTTCAAACTTGGTGAACCAGGTGTGTTTAGGCAGTTATGAAATGTGTGAGGCAAAGCTAACTAAAAGCTAAGCTAGTCAGAAATAAAATGTGGTTTTGTGTCTTCTTGCAGGAATCATAGCAACTCCTGTTTGTGCAGAAATACAAATCAGAGAAAAAAATAATGTTCAAGTGCATCTGAAGATCTTAATATTTTTGACAAAACCGGTAAAGGCTGGAACAATGACACTAGCAGTTTCCTAGAGATAGCTTTCATACGGTTTGTGTGAGTATCAGATAAAAACTGCTCTGTAGGTTTCCCTTTCAAAATTAAGAGATGTCGGCTCTCTCTGTCTGTGTCTCTCTGTCTCACATATACACACTCAGTTCCTTCTTATCATACTTAGCAGCCTGCTGGTCTAATTACAATATCTCTTGCATCTCTCCACCTAGGGGATGTACAGTTGCTGCCAGTTTGAGGATGAGACAGCACCAGGAAGTAGCTCTTTGCCCCAATACCACGCCATGACCGCCATGTCCACTGCAGCCCAACAACACCTTGTGACAGCCACAATAAATAACACGACCGCCATTGCCATGGTTCAGCAGCAACAGCACCAAAAGCACCACCAACAACAGCAGCAAGGGCCGACCTATACCACCATGCTACCCGGGTCGCCACAAACTACAGGACACTCAGCAATGGCTCTAGGACCCTCAAACAGCCCCTTGCTCGAAGGCCCCATGCCCTGCTCCAGCTTCTTGCCTCGCCATGACCGCAGACTTGCTGTGGTCGATCGCTGGAACAGATCAAAGCCAGAGAAGGTCATGAGTGGAGGAAGTGGTGGTGGAGTGGGTGTTGGGGGAATAGCAGGAGGGATTACTGAACTTCAGGCCCCGCAGTATCAGCTGAATCTTGGACAGCACTGGAGCCTGCAAGGTGGAGTTGCAGGCGGAGCAGGGGGAGGTGACACAGGGATAGATGAATATAAGCACTACTATGGTCCTATAGATCCAGAGGGGCTAGGAGCCAATGCTGAACAACAGGCAACAGGCCCCCAACAGACTCCCAAAGCTAATCCTAGAGGCCCCAAAGCCTCAGGGATGCAGCGGCTGCCTCCTAAAGGCCCCCAACAAGGCCCAGGGCACTTAATCCCAAAGCCACCTCCAACGCTCCCATCTTCCCCACGAAGGCCTCCTTTCTGGCGACGAGGAAGCCTAGCTCAGGCAAGGAGAAAAAGCTCAGCAGGTCCCCTGTATGAGAATATACTCCCTCTGGGTAGAAGAGGAGGTGGGAGGTATGGTGCAAGCGATGGAGGTGGAAGGAGAGGGCGACGTCCTCCACCACCTCTGCCTGTCCCACTCTCGTCCCCTACCCACACTCCTACCACTCCCTCCTCTCCATGCCGTTTCTACTCCTCCTGCTCCAGTGCCTCGTCCTCTTCCTCTTCCTCTTCATCGTCATCATCTTCTTCTTCATCCTCTGTCTCACAGTCTCGGTCGAATTCCCCGTCTTCTTGCTCCAGTGACAGCTCCTACAACTCTTCATTGAGTTTCCGGTATCGAGCAGGCGACCGGGATTTTAGGGTTGATGATGACAATGATTCAGATTTGCTTACAGAGGAGTCCAGCCTTCTCCTGGGAACACGGAGGAAGATCCGTTCCCGTCGCATGTCATCGCGCTCGCTGCCGTGCAGCCCACCACCTCCACCAATTCCGCCCCGGAAGCCACGCCCTCAGAGGGATTATGGCAGAGAGAGAACAGGCAGCCAGCTGGTACAATTACAGGAGTGGTGGGCATCGTGGGGAGACAGAGAGCGAGGGCGGGGAGGAACAACAAGCAGAGGAGAGGGAGAAGTAGTAGGTAGAGAGGAAAAGAGACATCACAAAGAGAGGGAACGTGAGAGGAAGAGGAGGAAGAAGGGCAGGAAGAAGAAGAAGAGGGAGGAGAGAGAAAGAGAAAGGGAGCGAAAACGGCGCAAAGCAAAGAAGAGGAAGAAAGAGGTTAGGATGAAGAAAAGAGACCAGAAGAGGTCAGAGCAGGAGGGAGGAGATGCTGAAAAAAGAGAGGAACTCAAATCAGGGACACCAGATTACCCATCATACCCAGGCCTGAGGCGAGAGTCTTTTCGGAAAAAGAGTGAAAGTTCAATCCGAAGCTATGGATGGAACATCCCAGGTGAAGAGGAGAGGAAGGGAAGAGAAGAGAAAGACAGGGATGATGGGGCAGAAATCAGAGGAAAAGAAAGACAAAGCAGGAGAAGGAACAGCAAGAACTTTCCTAGCTCAAGCAGTAAGCCTTCGACATCTGTCAAATTCTGGGGAGGGGTCAACGTATCCTCCGACACCATTCCATCTGCCTTTCTGCCCTTGTTGCCTGTCTCTTCTAAAAGGAGGAAGAGTAAAAATTCAGACCGGGATGCTGTAGGTATGGAAGTAGAGAGGAGGCCACTGCTAGGACGGGATGGAAGAGCTGAGATGCCCTCCAAGGAGGGGTTATCTTTCCACGAGTGGGAGTCCGGAGCAGAAGGTGAGGAAGAAGATTCTGAGCTAGAGAGGAGGAAAGCGGACCGTGGAAAGAGGCGTGGAGGAGGAAGGACAATGTCAGATGAGGAGCGGGAACGTGATAAGGTAGTCGGGATATATTCGGATGATGATGGTTCTTCAGGAGAATTCGGGAAGTTTGAGAGGTACTGGGAGGATCATGAAGGCAGGGCAGTAGGAGGGATCGGCGGGGGTGGTTGGTTTTTCAGCACCTACCCCTCCAGGGATAAAACCGGCAGCGTCAACAGTAGAGATGACCTGTTCTTGGAGCGAGGAGACAGGTGGGGGACAGCAGAAAGTGGATGGGGGTCAATTGGAGGTGGAGGAGATGGAGGAGATAGAGTGTGGGGATCAGGACCACGCTGGGCCCCTACTCCGCTCACGCCATCACCTCCTCGACGATACTGGTCAGTCGACAAACTCCACATACAGGATGAGAAGAAGAGTAAACGCAAATCAAAGGACAAGGGAAGAGGGCGCGCAGCTTGTTCCTCCTGTCATTCTCCCCGACACCATCCGCACTCCCATTCCTCAAAGTGGGCCCGCATGACCTCGCGAAGCCAGGAAGAGCTTTATCACCGGAGTTTTGGTGGTCCCTTGAAGCCAAAACCTGACTCCTCATCCTCCTCCAAACCTGAGCGCTCACAGAATCCACCCAAATCTGGCAGCCAGTCGAACCTCAGTATACTGCAGCGAACGCAAAGAACAGATAGAGATCGAGGACGGCAATCATCATCCCCACCCCCGAGTCTCATATCAAACTTGCCACCACCACTCCCTGCCCTTCCAGCTCCTCCATCTTCATCTCACCCTATCCACGTTCCTCCACCTGCCTCCTCCTCTTCTGTATCCTCCCCCTCTGTTGTCTCATCCACTCCGGGGGCACCCCAGCCCTCCTCCATGGCTTCGGCAAGTGCTAAACTACAGTACCAGAGGTTGCGCTCTGTACCCCAACCCCAGAGGTTTCCTCAGTCTCCTCACTTACCCCTCAAAGCCAAGAGCCTTTGCTCAAGAAGGGGCTCAGCCCATTTCTCCAGCGTGGAGAGTGAGGTCTGAAGTTCAACAAGGTATAAAAAGTCATAAGAGAGCCCTGCCAGGCTGAGTCGAAGCAGATGATCTTGATCTGAATCTGCCCAGCAGGAAATATGGCTGTGCGGCCAAGTCAGTAGAGTATACGCACTGAGCCCTTTCCTAAAGTTCTGCACAAACAAACAAACCAGAAAGCCAAACAAACCCTATGGGGTAGGTCAAAGGGAAACATAAGCAATGGTGTGCTTACTGTTATTTCCTTTCATCCCTCTCAGTATGTGAATGACTACAACCACAGCAACAACTTGCATCCTGAACTGGGTTATTAACCAATACACTAAAAGCAAATCGGACATTTAAGGTGGTACAGCTGAAGATGACTCCTTTGCTATAAAAGTAAAGGGCTTTGGATGTTGAAGCAGAGCAGTAGTTTGTATTCTTAATGCTTACTGAGGGCTCAGGAACTTTGTAGTACTGTATGCCTGCTGCTCTCGGAAGCCTTTAACACAAAACAGTGTTCTTATATTTTTCCCTTAAAAAAAAATGGCTTACCCCTATTGTCCTTTTTTCCTTAACAAACTGTTTACACCCCCGCAGAACTGTGACACCCTCCCGAAGCACCTTTGTTGTGTGTGATGAATACCTTCTTGTTGAGAGGGAGAGGAGGGTGATAACTACCTTGTCTTCTCGGTGTTTTCCATGCAACCTATCCTGTTCTCTTCTCTTTTGTTCTACCCGGTTTCCCATTCTTTCTATCTTTCTCTTCCTTACTTCCTTCGTCACTTTATTCAAGTGTCTTGTCTCCTCATCTCTCTTGTCCTCCCCTCTTGGGTCCTCTCCTCGATGTGATTATTCTGTGTGTCTGTGCTTTTCTGTGTTTGTATTCTTGACAACAGGGTAAGTCAACTGTGACTGATATTCTACTGGCTTAATGAAAAGCTGAGTGCCAAACTTAAGTAGAGCTCGACATCAATCTGTACAACCTTAGCTGCTATCTTTACTTTTATCGTGCAGAGTATTCCACCATCTCTCAAATATGTGCACATTCAAATACACACACATAAAAGTGCACCCAAACACTTGCATACATGCACATGCAATTCATCTATTCTCTTTATTCACACTCTGTTCATGCTACAATCTTATACTTTGAAACTTTTCTTTTACTTCCGTGTTGTAGATGTTGTTCGTATTGATTGTGTTCTATATATCAAGACATGTATTTTACATCTAATACAATGTAAGCACTGTGCCATACTACTCAAGCTGCACATCGTCACCTTCGTAAAATAATGGCCCAAGTTATTCTTTCAGGTTTTTCAGAAAACACAAAATAAAACGGCCTAATGGTGTGTTCACACCAAACGCGGCACGAATTATTCACGCGAGTAGATTACATACAAAGTCTATGCACAGACGCGGCGCGAATTTGCGATGGCGCAGCGCAATTGACGCAAATTCGCGTCCGACGCCAAATCGCCCCAAAGGCGTGAGTTGAAATTTTTCAACTTCGGCGAAATATTCGCGTTATGCCCCGGTGCGATAGCCTATCAGCGTTGAGATGCTTCTCCTGTCATCACTGACTTCCTGCTGTTGTTGAATCAGGAAATAAATACTGTAGCCGTCTGTGTTCACCCAGAGCTCTACGATAACTCATATCAATACAGACCAGACCAAACTATGTGTATACGTGTGTGTGTGTGTGTAAACCATATGGTACAAACAATGAATAGACACTGCCGTATTTACGTCTAGATGATGTTATTGTGAGTGTTGGTGGAGCTGCTACAATGTTAACATTGCTACAATGTTTAAATGTTAGCATAGCCTAGCACCGATCCATCTGGCTCCATTGAGAAGACAAGTAGCCTACAAATCGGCATCATTACGTAGTTATTTCGGAGTCCCTTTTTGTCGGTTTATTGCCGTTAAATCACAGCCAAATCAGTTTATTTTGTGTTCATACAGCTGTAGTAAACAGCGACGTGTGGCTTTGCTAGACACAGTGAATACACCTCGATAAAATCCATGGAGCTCCTCTGGACAATATTATGAACCCAGACATGACGGCGTTTAGTTACCCAGGATACCTGTGACTTCCACAACACGTACTAAGCAGAAATAGGTAATTTTTTCCATGGTTAAGGGCGGACATTTGAACAGCTTTCAGGGCGATAAGCCACGCCCCCTCTCCAGCGCGATTCGTGCGAATGAACACAAATGGTCCCCGGCGAGACCGGTGGCGCGAATGACGCGAATTTGGTGTGAACACGGCATAAGTCACACTCTTGACATAGGCCATTATACTACAGGGGAACTGAGGATGTGGGCGATTTCACCAGAGGTGGCCAGCATCACGAGGAGATGATTTAGGCAACAAATTCATTTTTGTCAAAAAATGACATAGGCCATTATTTTAGGAAGGTGACGACATGAAACATTCTCTCAACTACCTAACTGCGTCAATGGAGGCATTCTCTTTCCCCCTCACTGTATTTGGTTGAATGTAAAGTCAGCCACCATCAAGTGTGCTGCAATAACAATTAAGACACTTGGAGTTTGGAATTTGTAGAACTTTTGGTGGTTAGTCCTTGTGTCTGTTTGAAGAGATGGAAAGTAAGACGACTTTAGTTCATTTTTGAGCAAGCCTAGCATAAGCAACGGTATGCTAATCTTGCAGGGTAAGTCTATGGTTGTTGATGAAGAATTAGATCTGCAATTGGTTACAGTTTAAATTGGTTTTGTTGGTTTCCTCCTGCAAGTCTTCCAATTGGTGCCAAGACTAGAATACATTGGCAAGACTGACCAACCCAGGTGTGAGCAGAAAATGTGTGTATAACATGTTGGTGCTACACAGTTTTGTGAGAGTAGGTGAAAGATTGCAGGGAAATAAATATTTGTAGACTTATGCTAATTGCTCCTGCCATACGTTTTGTGTAGAGTATGAGTATGAAATGATGTACTTTAATCAACATGTCTGGGGTTTACCCTCATGCTACCAAGACAGTACAATTGGACAGGGAGGAATTTGATTGGTGTGAAATTAGATCTAGTGCCAGTGCCGTTTTGATGTCAAAGAGACTGTGCCTATGTTGGATGCCAGCTAGCGGATGAGAAGTTTTGAAGGAGAGCTGAATCTGAGTGATGGTGTCTGGAAGATATTTTTTTTTAATAATTCTCACCTTGTAAATGTTTAATCAAGAGCAGTAGCTTTTTAATCCATGACCGAGCTGACACCAGCAGTTACAGTCCGATGTCAAGCACTTAGCTAGAGTAGCTCCGTACATCAACATGGGAATTTAGCATCAGGACACTGGACATCAGTGGAGTTTTAGTGAAGAGGCAAGAACCGCTGGCACAACAGCGTTTGTGTTCACAGTCGGTCATAATGCCTCAGCCATCCACTCCATCAGGCTGGTCAGCTCTTGTTTGCCTGGAACTGCATCTGAGCCATAATTTACTTCAGCTGAAGAAAACAAAAATAGAACATTTTAAACATAAACCTGTTGTGTAAAGTCTGCCTTTCTTTAAAAAAATAATCTATATATATATATATATATATATATATATATATATGTGTGTGTGTGTGTGTGTGTGTGTGTGGCGGTGGGTAGAATATTGTAGTTTAGCATTATGATATTTGGGGATATTGTTTCTCATTACAAGTCCATTACAATAAAACAAATATTATGTGTTAAAACACATATTCCTTCATATTCATTCAGAGAAATTATAGATTACTTTCTTCAACAAAGATTGACTGTATTAAGCCAAGTTTGAGGCAGTTCGGTGCTTTGCTTATCACAATCAGCAATCAACAGCTTATACAAATTTCAATGAAAGCAGGAAAAGCATTGAGTAAGTGTGACATGTTTCTGTGCGTTCACACCGCGAGCAACTCAAGTGTGTTGCCCCTAGTGCAAACAATATCTGCGACCTCAAGACATTTTAATTAAGTCTGCCATTAAAAAGTTGGCTGCAGTTAATTAAACCATTTGTGTTCCTTTGTCTTGCTGCTGCTGATTCACTGCAGCATCAGTGAGCTAGCATAAACAGGCAACTGTACATTGGTCCAGCACAGCTGCTGCTAGCGGTGTGAACACAAAGCCTGGGTGTTTCCTCAGAGTAACAGTCCTTCCCTTTCTGCCCTCGCCTCTTTTTCCTCATGTCTATCCATTGTGTTGTTGCGTGTCTGCAATTGTAAAGCTGGTCTGTTTTGAAAAATGAAGAGTATCTGTGGATATATTTATTTCATCTAAAAAAAAAAAAAAAAAGATAGAGTATCTAAATATATATGATAGTATATTTCAAGGCGCTTAGATCTATGTTATATAAGTTTGTCTACTAAATTTTCGGTATTATCTCAATGAATATGTCTGTTTGTCTGTCGTTCCTTGTCTCGAACCTCCTGCCCAGCTCCCCACCCCCCAGCGAAAACAGAGACCAGTACATAACTGTGTTTTTGCTCACTTAAGACCAACCATTCGCCTCCATTAGCTATCTACTGTAGCTAACGCTAGGATTTCAACGAAGTGACAACGTGGAGGGGTGCGCGAGTGTCTTATGACCGTGTCACTGTAGCAGTGGTGGCGTGTTTGTCTACCCAGAGGGGCCTTTCTTTTTGGTTTGGGCTACAGAATAACAACTAATTAAACCTTTTATGGATACAGCAGCTTTTACCACAACTCTCACTTCTGAAGGGGTCACATTCTGGACCCCGGTTCCGGTTCACATCGGACCCTGGAGTTTATACCGCAGTGTAGAGTAAGGTGACCTCTTTGACACACAATGTAGCGAGCAGCACAGGCTTTTTTTGCATCTCTTAGTAGCTGAATTACTATACAAAAACATGCACAGCTACCCCTGCCAACCAACCTATACAGTATATATAAGGACTTTGATATACGTACATAATGTGTTGTGTCTGCCAAGCTGCTGTGCTGTAAAGAAAAAAAGAATTATACACGACAGACACACCATTTCTATCTTAATTTTACAAAACTGGTTAAGCTAACATGACACATGTCAGGGGGAGGGCTAAATCTGCTCGCTAGTGTGGTTTCCACTAAGGCCAAAAATGGCTGAACCAGGGCTTTCTTTTGATAATCGCATCTTGAAACCTCTTGCCACTTTTATTCCTGAATGGACAACAACGATCCTGCACACGTCATCGGGTAGAACATGGAAACACTGCCTGAGATAGGGGATCCACCCTCCTTACAATGCTTAAGATACAATAATGTAAGTCAATATGGTCGAAGGTATGTCAATTTTCAACCCTGCGTTCAGTAATATGTGAAGCCTTTCCCGGCCCTGAGCCCTGGTGAGCCCAGTTTTAGCCTGCAGTGGAAACACATCCACAGTGTCTGCCTGTACACCTCTGAACAATGTCTCAAGGCCTTGTATTAATTCTGCTGTATCGACTGTACGGGATGATGGCTAGTCGTGCTACACTTTATTGTCAGTACCTCACACACAGACACATGCACACACTGTCAGATTCACATGAGCGCACACACACACACACGCACACAAACACACACACAGGTCAGGGTGGTAAGATGCTGCTGCCACTCTGCTTCAGCCTTCTGCCACCAGTGGGGTCAATGACAATAATGTGCTGCACTGCAAGCAGGACAGAAATAAATAAAAAAAGATGATTTTAATAAAGAACTGAAATAAATGCCTGTGTTTCCTTTTTAGTCGGGTGAGTGGGTGAACACATTTGAATGCAGTTTGATTGTTTCATTCATATTGAGGGAATTTGTCTCACTTTCATTTCAAAGAAACACACATGTTGAAATCTGAGTTAGACAGAATTGCCTTTGTCAGTGTCTGACCACTTCAAGGACCAAGACAGCACACCGTGCATGATGTCATATTTTGTGGGAATAATGAATTCGACTTTTATTGAACCAGGGGTGCCCAAAATAACTCCTCCAACTTTGCAACTCTACACGTGGGGCCAAAATTAAAAGCTAACAAGAAGTGAAAAATTTGGTTACGGCAAAACTGGACTTGCATAGCCACACACACACACACACACACACACTACAGAAACAGTGAGACATTTTTTTTCTGTTATAGCACCAGTTTGTGGTAGAAGCTGATTAATGCATTTTACAGTCAATAAAACTCTGACTTGATGCCTTTGAAATCCAAGATGAAGAAACGATGATCATGCTGAAAATGAAGAGGGAAACGAGGGAGAAGATAAGGCCTCGGCTGCTAAATAAGACACCAAATAAACAGAAAAGTGGGACAAAAGGCTGAAAAGGGAGAGTGAGATAAAGTAAAGAGGAGAGAGCAAGTGACAGAGAGAAGGGGGGAGTGCAGGTTAAAGACAGAGAGAGAGACGCTGATAGCATAAGGACTGAGCAGAGACTGAGAAAGAAAAGAAGGAAAGGTGGGAGGAAGGAAAGAGAGAGAGAGAGAGGAGACAGTGCTCAGTTCTCGTGCCGTCTGCAGGGCAAGATAGAGCTGGTTGTCATTTCTACAACAATAGGCTACCGCTGAGTGCTGCCTGTCTTAGAGA